AAATAAATTCTAAGAAGTGAATAAAAATTACGATGTGTACAATAAGCATAGCAGGTTGTCTATAAATTAGGTTGTTATCTTATCTATTTTTATTTGTGTTCCTTCCTGTGACTGCAACCACCAACTGATTACCCAATGGTATTATTTACAGCCAACTATTTCTCCACCAACAATAATAATAAAATTTGCAATCACAACTTCTGTGAAATTGATCATTGATATATTTCTTGGATTGAAGTATTTTAAAAGCTTGTTATATTTATTGCCAAGCGAATTTCTTTACTTTCTTTCTTTTCTTAAGCGATATCTTTTACCAAAACTATTACAATATTACCACAGCTTAAAATAATTTAATTTAACACAGAAAAATAAATAAAAACAGTCGACTAACTTCCTTCAAGAAAAATACAATTATTCATGTTTACCCATTCTTTTATATATATAAATATATATATATATATAAAAGAATATATATATATATATATATATATATATATATATATATATATATATATATATATATATATAAGAATGGGTAAACATGAATAATTGTATATATATATATATATTGTAACGTTTTCAAAAGGAACAAAAACAAACAAACGAGTTTCCTTTTTGAATATCTTATTTATTTTACACATATAACATAATCTCAAGGTTGGGTTCTGACACCTGAACACTCATTCCTATTTATAAAGACAATGTACACTAATTCATTAATTACTACTACACTTATTTATAATTTAAAATATTTTATTAAATAATTTGTCCCGGTCTAAACTTTTGGTTCTATCCCTTTGTCAACATAAATGGTATTGTTAGCACTCACCCAAATGTTGACGCCTGCCAGCGAAATAATCTCTTCTTACTTACGATTGTCCACTTAATGTTTCTGTACCACTTAATTAATTTCTGCTATATTCTTTCTTCCAACATAAAATAATCTTCCTTAGTGGCCTCTGTCAACACTCGAACCGGCTAAGACTCCTTTTCCTAATTTCTCCACTTGCTGGCTGGCACCTTCCCCCTTGGCCGCTTGTCTCCTTCTCTTGACGGCTCATGATCTTCTCTCTTAGCCGCTAGCACCTTCCCTCCTGGCGGCCCGTCGCAGTCTCCTTTCCGCCTTACATGAAGCTTGTTTCCCCCACTTTCTTCCCGTAGTTCGCGCCATCACCACCTTTGCGCCACTATCCAAATGCCATGTAATGTTGACATTACAATATATATATTTTTTTTTTTTTTACCTCAAAGGTAGGAATATTAACATTTTATTTTTAAGTAATTCAACATAGTGAAAGTTGGTGTGTACTGTTGCTGTTCATTATCAGCAATTGGGATCTATGCAAATTACAAAAAAAAAAATTCATTTATATATTCACTTGAACCTATGTATTTAAAATCTATTGAAGATCATTCCCTCTCATGTAATAGTTTTATACTCTTTATAATAAAATCAATATTGATATAAATAAACAATAAATTCCATTATGATTAGTTTTTGAAAAATGAGATATTAAAAAAAATCAATAGATCTTGTCATTCTGAGACTTCATTACAGGAAGGTCGTCCAGGTTAAAAGAATTGAAGCAATTTCTCACTTGATGCGAGGGTTGGTACTAGGTGATGGATGCCAGTACTAGGGTCAGTGTGCCATTGTGGACAAGCCCTTACAATATGATATGCAAGATTAAATAGTGTTTGAAACTCCTTTGTCTAACTCCTGCCATTACTGAAAAGCTACCATTACAAGCTATATTAATATATACTTAATATAGCATAGCTACCATTCATTGAAAAATCAGTCGAATCAATTCATTTGGAATATCAAAATTTCTAAGAGCATGTATCGAATTATTTATAATTACACTATTATAAGCATGGCTGTAGTCAATAAATAGAATGTAAAGGTTCGTTTTTTTATTCCAAACAATTTGTCATTACTTATCTCATTGCGGAGATCTAATCATCAACCAGATAGAAATATAATATACTAGACTAGTAAAATACAATGTAATAATATACTAATAATAAATGAAAAACATATCATATATCATTTCTAAATGGAAAAATAGAAGTATTTGTGATCTTTTAAACTACATGACCAACAGTTTGTCTATAATCATTTCTCATTATTTGGTAACATAGATTGCATGGCACAATTTAGGCCATCAATATTTTTTTTTTGTGGGGAGGGGACATTTTTGCATGGTTATTGAATTTCAGAGGGAACCATATTTACTAGTGTTTCAATTTAGGGTAACTTTAAAACCAGGGTACAGTGAAAAACAATATGGAACAAACCACACGTATAATTGTAACTAAACTACAATAATTATAATTCTACCATATTAAAGAAGAGGAGAAAAAAAGTTATTGAGAGGATAGGCATGCATCATTACCGTTGGAAGATTAGGTTCTTCTGCCTGATAAATTGATTTAAAATAACAAAATAAAGGTTAATTAATATTTATAGGAATCCTGTCATACTATTGTTATATTGGGTTGGCAAATAACTCCTTTCTGTGTACTTTGTGTGTACTTCTTATCTGATGAATTAATCCCTAAGGTAGATTTTTTATCCTGTTTGTAATATGTCAACAACTATATCTGTTAACTCTTGTTGAAAATAGCTTAGTATTGTGTTTGCTACTGCACTGTGAATATGGAAGAAAATATTATTCAATAAATTTTTTTGTATTATTTTAAAAAAGGTAAGTGTGCTGAAGCTCATAGAAAAATTTGCAGTGTTTATGGAGATGATGCCTTAACTAAACGCAGCTGTCAAAATTGGTTTGCCAAATTTCATTCAGGAAATTTTGACATCAATGATGCTCAACAGTCTGGTCGCCCACATGAAATTGAAACGAGCAATGTTAAGGCCATTGTTGATCAAAATGCCACTCTGTCAGTGCGAGAGATTTCTATGGCCCTAATTGTGTCACAAACAAGCGTAGAAAAGCATTTGCACAAGCTCGGCTGTTTTCAGGCTTAATGTTTGGATCCCTCACACGATTTTGTTTTGAAAATCGCAAAAAATATTATTACTTCAATACAACTTTAGCTATGTACAAGAAATTTAGGGCCACATAAACTACACAAAACGATGTCAATAGGACCTTCGTGAACAAACTACAAATGGAGATAAAAAATAAAAACCTATAAGGAGTTTTTGAAGAGTAATAATTCAGCTTTTCAAAGGATATAGTAACATAGAATTTGGAGAACATCCTGAAGAGTTATGAATTATCGGAAGGGTGTTGTGTTCCACCAAGACAATGCTAGGGCCCACACCACATTGGTCACTCGCAATAAAGTTGAGCCTTGGATGGGATCTTTTGCCCCGCCCTCCCTATTCACCAGATCTAGCTCAAAGTGACTACCACTTATTCCGGTCTCTGCAGAACTCCATAGATAGAAAGAAATCCCAAAAGGAAGAAGACATCAAAAACCACTTGGCTCAGTTTTTTAACAATAAACTCCAGACATACTATGAATATAGCATTATGCAGTTAGTAGAAAGATGGAACATAGTCATATTAAATAATGGTCAATATATTGTAGATTAAAATAAATTTTATGTCTATAATACATTGAGTTTTATTTCATCCTGAAAAATCGAAAGGACTTATTTGCGAGCCCAATACTTCATGCTGTTTTATGACAGATTTTTATTAAATTTATTATACATTATTGTAAATTGAATGTTACTCGTAAAATTCTAGTTATACAATTTCCACCTTCAAGTAAAACAATAATAAATTTTATTAAATATTCATTTTAACTTTTCTTAATTTTTTTCTATAAAAGACCTATGTAAATTAAAAAAATAATTTAAACCCCATTGTGAGAGATAAAAGCAATCATACATACAAGGAAAAAAAATTAAGAGAATTCTATAAAAAAAAAAAAAATTTAGGAGTCAACAAATGAGGTGTCCTGAAAAATTGTTTAAAGAACTTCGCCAAGGTTTCCCAGAAAAGGGTGGCTAGGCACAAGTTGACAGGGTATGCAATATCACACTTGGGGAAGATCGGCACCTCTGAAATGATTGATAGATTGAAGAAGGGAAAGGTAAATCACATGGGCGGTGGGGTGGTCGAGCAGGCAGACTTGTGTGTAAAATACACTTTGCTCAACAACTTTATAAACTGAAATATACGAGTTCAAATCTTTGTGCCTAGGGGACTTTTAATAGCACTAACCCTCCCCCTCCCTTGGTCCAGGAAAAACCCTTTAAAGCTGAAAAGGCTAGAAAAAAAGGAAGATGGATCACTTGCAGACCAGTTTTAGCTATGCACAGTGGACACGCACAGCTGAAATGATCTGTAAAGCTGGAAGGAACCACAAAGCGCCTTCATCTCAACCAGGAATTTTCTAGTCAACTTACCATAAGAGAAAACAACATCGGTTTGATCCTTTCATACCCCTCGGGAACCACTTTACTATAGCTGGTTATCTAATTGTTGGAACACCTTCCATTGAATGGAACTGGAAGTAGCCAAGTGTTGGTTGGTGTGATGTTAGACAGAAAATGAATGTGTAACAGCAAAAAGTATTATATTTAAATAGATATGACAATTATTGTAATTTGTGACAGTTGGTGCCACATTACAAGGTCAAGTTAATATAAAGAATTCTCAGAGGATGGGAAAATTGTTCAGAAACGTCAGATGTAATAGATGTATTTAAAAAAGACTAAGAAAAATGGAAGTTTAATTGCCTTAACCTTATAAAAAATATTGGAGAAGTTTGTAAATCAACCCAATATTTTTAATTTAAAATTGTGGAATCTGCATACTATACGTAATTTAATGACAGCTAATGTATTAAATATCCTTCAATGGGCATGCTCTAAACAGGAGCATTACTACTTACACCACCGAAAGAACTAAAGAAGTTTGACATTTAATACTGTAAATTGTGATAATAATTATAATTAATTTCAATGAATAAGATAAATTGAAACAATGGAAATAAATATAACTAAAGGGTGGAATACATAAAAGAAATTTTTTCAAAAAGCTTAAATAACAAATTTATTTACATTAAATCATTTTCTTTTTAATATATTGATAAAAGTAACTTAAGAAAAAATAAAACTATTTTTCAAGAGGAGCATAATTAAGAAGTTTTTCAATAAGATCCACATGGCCAAGAAGCATACGTCGACAGCAGTAACGTTTAAGTCCTAGAGCATCAAGAGCGTCACTGCAACAATTCACAAAGTAATTATTATTTTACAGTTTACAGAATTGAAAATGAAAATTTTTGCTTTGATATAATAACATTAAAACAAAGAATATTACATACCTCTAGTCACCGCTTACCAAATTAGAACACAAAAATGAACTAATAGAGAGGAAGAGTGAGAGAGAAACATGCACACACCAAAATACCCAAATAAATCAAATATGTATTACAACTTACCCTTCTGTATATTCAGCCTGAAGAAGGCCTAAATATGATTCCCATTTATTGCCAATAACTTTACCACAAGTAAAACATCGCACTGGGATAATCATCTAGAAACAAATGAAAATTCTGAAAATGTATAGACACACCTATATTCTATTTAATATGATTATACAATAATTTTATTAAGCAATATAGGACTTCAATGGAAGTCTTGGAGTGGAAAAAGTGTGTTTGCTTTCAAAAGACATATTATTTATTGCATTTTTAGAATATTTAATAATAATAACAATAATAAGGCTTAGCGAACCCGAAGGTTCGATGCCGATATCACCAATCGATGTCCACATTCTTCCATCCATCGGCTCCGTCTAAACCCAACTCTACCAAATCAGCCTTAATGCAATCTACCCACCTTCGCTTTGGTCTACCCCTCGGACGCTTCCCAGTCGGTAAAGCGCATATTAATTTTTTAGGAATTCTTTTGTTACTTAGCTCAGTGATTTTACATGCCCATTTTATTCGCCTCAACTTTAATATATATGTATTTTTTAGTTTTATCATAATTGGTCTAAACTATAGTGTTCATGGCAATATAAAATTAGTTACTGAGAATACACCTCTTTTATATGGTACACATATGAGAAAATAGTATTATATACAAAAGGCTCTACACTGAAGCAAGTGCAAACAAATATCTAAATAGTACATAAGATGAAATGCTAATAAAATTGGGTACTATATTTTGGTGGTAAAGGAGCTCTGATGCACTTAGTCAGTCAGCTGTATATTCATATTTTATAGTGGACTCTATTTACTGGGACTTCTCAGGACTCTATTTATGGTGTGATCGTGAGATCTGGTGACACCCATGAAACTGGAGTGACAGTAGTACCATAATTTGCATGAATTATAACAATAACTTATAAATTAGAAATAAAAAGATTATAATTCTATAAGTTTCAAAAAACAGTGTTGAGATCAAATCCATCCCTAATCTGGACAAAATGATGCCATCCATGATCTCAGTTTTGAGTTTAGGAACTTGCTCATTCATTATATTCTCATTAATACCCCACTGTTTAAAAATTGTATTCATTCAGGCATAAGCTATAAAATATAGTGTTGACATACCGACAACGTCAATAGATTTAACTTCACATGATCATTATATGCTGACTTTAGCCAGAGAACAAAATTTTGAATACACACACAGCAACACCTTGAAACCAAAATAACCTCCCCAAAATTCAATCTAATGTAATTGTGATATTTAGTGTTCAAAGTTAATGATAATATTTAATTTCATAAACATTATTTCTAAGGAAGAATTGAATTCCTTACCTTGACTAGCACAGCATGCGACGAACCAAACCTTTGTCCTCAACAGAACCTTCTGGAATAGTAACAGTAGTCCTGTTTACAAGTAACCAGGTGCTGGTATTGATCAGAGCCGGACGGTGGCGCTATCTGTGGGCGGCCGGCCTCAGCCTAATCAGTGAGCAAGTGGCGGCGAGTGGGGGATTCAGCAAGAGCAGTGTCTCATTGGAGGCCGATAATACAACATGGATAGGTGTTAGTGAGGGCCGTGTGCGTGTGTCTATGTGCGTGTCTGTGTGAATCGTCCAACTAAATCTTACGAGATCAGAAAATGTCAGACAAGCCGGCACGTGGACAGAGCAAGAGGAACAAGCAAGGAGAGCATAGTGACGGTGAAGCAGAATTATCACCGGTATAATTTTTATTATTAAAAAAAAAAAAACATTTTTAATATTTATTTAATAATCCTAATTTAGTAATCTACAATGTTTATTGTTTTTACGAAAAAAATAAAAACTTTAAATAGTCCTTAAATAAATCCAATTAACTTCATCGAAAGGTAATACTTTTATTGATCAGTTTTAGTAAATATTTCTCAAGTATAGTAATAAAATATATTCATATAAATGAATATATATATGTATAAGTTCTTATAAATGAGAATCTCTCAATTTATTAATCCTAAAGCACTTAGGGATTATGTCAACCCATATGTAACATAATTCCATAAGTCATTTTAGGAACTTAAGGTAAAGTATTTGTCAATATCTTGGAAATAAACTCATTTAGTAATTTTTATTCTTTTTATTAATTTTATAAGTAACTTCTTGTTATTTTGAAGTGTTGAAGCTTCAATACTTACGATAATTTGACTTATTTTTTCAAGATATTTTAAGATCAAAATTATACCTCCATCTATATTTTTATTTCTTTGTTCCGTTCTCCATATTGTGACAGAATGTTATATTTCTCAATAATTAAATAAGTTTATTTATCATTACACTAATACTGCTGTTATTTTTTCTGTATTTTTGAAATATAGATTTGTTATTATTATTTAATTTTTTTAATAATTTATTCAAACACAAAAATAAGGAATATCTTCTCTTCTATAATACTGAATCGATCCTGAGGTATATCGCACTAATTTTATCAACCATATCATACTAATGTTCTTAGAAAGATACCTCAAGCCGTCATTGATATTGTAATCAGCTTATATCTACATACCACAATATATATGTACCTCACTACTGATGTTTTTAGTTTATATTTATTTTAATTTTGTCGATTATTTTTTATGAATATTATTTTATGAGGGGTCAATTAATTGTTGTCATTTTAAAATTTGTTTTTAGTGGTAATTATATTTTTTTATGCATTCATGACATAAGTCTTCTTGGGGTATCGTATCTTTATTAACAGGAAAACACTTACCTCGACAAGGTAAGTTATGTTTGAGATTTTAAGGCTCCTACACACAAAACGCGATTCGTCCAGGTGATACGATACCTTTTGTCGGTATCGCTGCGGATTATCGCACTCCGTGTGACTCTTATAATGCAATAGATAGTAATACAACTATATCATCATTTCACAGCAGACGGTAATATTGTATCGCCATGATATATTGCACTATGTGTATAGGAGCCTTTAATAAAAGTTTATTATTAGGTATTTAAATTTTAATTTAATCGTATTATTTTATGTTGTAAAAATTTAAAGCGTTATGAATTTTTAATTCTGTCAGTGACATTATCCTCTATTTATTATAACATTTCATTAGTTGTCCGCATACATTTTTATTTCTTCTGTTTATTAAGACTACCATGCTAGGATTTTTTTTCTTTGAAATATATCTTTTATTCTTAACAAGAAAAACGTTATTTCTCAATCAATTAATATCTATTGATTTGTTTGTTAACATTTTGAGATGTAATTAATCAATGTAGAGCTATTGTAGTTGATGTGTTCGTAAAATTTTTATATTATGTTTCTTTTTTTAATAACTTTTTTTAAAGGAACATTCAGCTGTTTTTTAAAGAAAACGAAATATATTCCGTTAATCGCAGGGCCACATTGAACCAAATGTTGGATCCTGCTTTTAAGATATAAATTCACCGCCAACATGTTTCAATCAATAAGTATAATATACCTAAATTTAATATACTATCTAGATTAGTTTTCATAGTGGGAACAATGGTCAGCAGAATATTGTGTAACATAAATTATATTAAAGTTAGGCTACATCATCTTAGTTTTTTTTATTAGCAATATATTAATAACTGACTAAAAAAATCAGAGTTCTTTTGAATTAAAATATATTTTTCTGAACTCCTCTTTTATTTCCTCGTGTTAGAGGAATGTTGCTTTCCTGGAGTGTTTATGTTTGAAATAGTGTGGGAAGTACGAAACAATGCTTCTCTTCCCTTTTTATAGCAGCTGACTTCCAGAAAAGAAATGGTTTGCCTTCTGTTATCTAAGTGAGCGGAAAAAGAAACAAACAAAAAGTAGAACAGGTGCCTTTTCCAAGCATAATTATCTACCTTATTTTAGATATGACCCACCATCATTAAAATATTTGTGAGGCTACATTTCATTGTTGTGGTAATTAAGTTAAGTAGATTCTTTGCATTTATTTTCATTATTTACTCACTGCTGATGTTGGTAATTCTCCCTCAAATTGTATCTGAATACATTTTGTTTTGTTACAATAAAATGTCGTAATACAATTTTCAAATAAATCACGAGTTAGTTACCTTTTGGCTTTTCCTATGGCATTTTGGTTGTCAATGGAACCAAACTAGAATGTCGTCAGCTTATTGCAAAATATATTTATATTTCGTAATCTTAATTAATTAACGACTTTGAACAATTTTTACATTATGAAATACAAACATCATGCGCTTGTGGTAACTATATTTTATATATATAAAAGAGTTTGTTTCATTTTCGTGCCCTTACAGTGTTTTTGCATAGGTAAATAAATTTGTCTAAATTTATAAAAACATTTTTTTAAATTACCCTAAATAAAAAATGTTCCCAGTGGCTTTGCAATAAAATGCAAGCACATAATACTATAATTGTAATGAATTAATTAAATTATCATTGAATGAAAAAATATCAAGTTACGCTCTGGATTGACAGACATTTTCGCACATTGAGAGGCATCGTTTGACTGAATAGCAGGTTTCAGAGTTTATAACATATTGGAAATTAGTTTGGAAGAGATTAGAACCAGGAAAAATCATGGGTGATAAATATTCAGTTTTTAAGATTTGTATTGTTGCCAACGCTTCAATCCAAGATTGAAGATCATTAACAGGGCATATTTAGTACTGAAGGTATTCAAGTACTGAACGGAGTTCCTTCAATAATACAAAGAAAGGTATCTTAAATTGGTGAGGTGAACAAATGACACTAAAGCTCAGCCATGTTTCTTTTGATTCTTCTTTTATACTACTTTTTCAAAAAGTAGTGTGGTGTTTTTCTTACGAGCCGTCCCGCTTTTAATATGTAAAATAAAATATGACAGTCACTAAAAACTTTTATATATACTAGATAGATATTTACTTAATTAGTCTACTTTGTTGACTGCAATAAATAATAGATCGCCCAAACCATCATCTTGATGTTTTTATTTATATATGAACTTACCCTCTCTCTTCACATTATTGGAATAATCTTTTGTTGAGACATGCAACTCATATATATTTAAGTATTGAAAGATTTGAGAAGAAAATCCTCCGCACGATAACCGGAGCGATCTGGTATCAGAGTACTAACAAATGGCGAAGAAAGACCAAAAAAGAAACGCTTACAAAAACTGGTAAATAAATATCCCATTATATGAAGGCACGGAGGTTAAGATGGGTAGGGTGTGTAGCTCGTAGCAATCCATCTGGAATGCCTCAATAGAAGAGCAAAAAGCAGAAGAATAGATAGAATTACCAAAAAAATTATTGAGCTGCTTGTAAATAACTAGAAAAAAATAACCCCAACACAGGTAGAGATGGAGCAGGCCTGTTAAGGCGGTAAAAGATCTACATGGACTGTAATGCCAAAAGGAATAAAAAGTATATATATATATACATATATATATATATATATATATATATATATATATATATATATATATATATATATATATATATATTTATTTATTTATTTATATACATATATATTTATAATGGAGTTTAGGCGTTTGTTAAGAAGCATTCCTTATCAACAGGTTGCCTCTTTCCAATGACCTGTGTGGGGATACCTTAATTAATTTTGTGGGACCACGCATTACTTCAATCTACTCCTGCCTCTTGCTTAAATGGAGAACTTCACTAATCTCTCTTGGTCTATTATAACTTCCTCCTCACAACGAGCTAAATACTTGAAGTAAATACATATATTTGAATTATAAGGCTGTTAATAATTTTAGTAAATAATAGGTTAGGATAATAGATGTCAACTTCAACCTATCTTAGTTGAAAAAAAAATATTACATTTCCATTATTTTGGTAGGAAAGAGTTGGCGTGTACAATTTATCAACTTTAAAGAAACCTTTGACATATGAATTATTTTGTAATCTTTTATATACTATTTAATCTTCATAGCTCGTCTAATAATCATAAGATGTAATTTATTTGCAATAAAATTTCTTTATCTGTAACTATAGGGCTTGGGCTAGGTAACACGGAGTTATGGATACGAGATTGTATGATTAAATAAAAAAAAATTAAAAATTTTGCATATGAAGATATATGAGGGTGTTGACTAGAATCTCCCTAAAAAAATAGCCCACTCTAAAATGAAGGAAGTCTTTTAATATAAAAATACTATGGATAAATGAGAGGATATAAAGATAATGGGCTAAAGATGGAATATAAAATCCCGAAATGTCACATATGAGTAAATAAAAAGTAATTTTTGGGAGAGAAAAGCTGTCAGATTTTCAAGAAGATAGTAGAGGTCAAAAGGATTTGAACCAGAGTTTATATGAGATTAATAAAATATATGATACATGTTTATATTTAAAATTTTTGGAGGAACGGTTTTAAAAAATTTTCTTAACAATACATATTGTCTGATACAGCGGCGGACCCACAAAAGGGAAAATAGGGAAAAATTTCTCTTCTAGGATAACCATTGAGAAAAAAAAATAGACAAATGTTTAAAATTTACCTTATCGGTATAATTTATAATTTATCGGTACTCTTTGATAACTTTGAATAGATGATAATTTGTTAGATAGGAGCAAATTTAAAAATTCACTCATCTTTTGAAAAATCGATCGTTGTAGATGCCTTAATAAATTAATCATCTTTTTTATACCCACAATAATAGATTTTAAATAGTTCGAGATGCTTAATATATATTGATCTATTGCTATTCCTCACACAAACAATTTGTCTCCCGAATTCTGTGGACATCCTG